AACATAGTACAATTAACCGATGGTAAGTTTATGCAATATTAGTGATAGATAATTAACAACTCCAAACCTCAAAATGCTTCACATCCTATCAGAATTGAAGGTCTGGATAGGGTGCTGCTACTCTAAGAGAAGCCTGCACAAGTACAAAACCTGGGCCATGAACCATGCATTATAACAGGTTCCTGGTTTCTCCATCCGAAAGCTGTGTACAGGATTCTTGTGAGGTCTCTAAATCTGAATATTTAATTGTCATGTATGTATAATGTTATGTATGGAGACATGATATATAAGTAAGAGTTTCAGAATTGTAGATTATGCATAATTATAGTGATTAGTGTTGTTTATTTTATGGTTTATACCTGTCTACTTAGATAATAGGTACACAGTTCTCACAACTCTTCTCTCAGGAAGGTTCCTCTGACACAGTGTTTTTTCTGGAAGAGTTATTTTGCAGTATCGAAATTATTAATCTTTTTTTTATTGGAAGTTGACAATTTGATTTAATAATGTAAGACTTGTAACTTAACTCTGCTAATTACTTATGACTTGGCTTGAAGTTCAAGATATTTTCATATTTAAGCTCGAAAATAAATTAGAAATTTAGTAAATACCTATCTCAATATAATGCAAAGTTTGTTTTTAGCATATTGTATTTTGGTTTTTGAGGAAGTGGACATCCATAAAATATGTATGCAATAAAACCACTAATTTAGGACTCTCCTACCCCTTTATGTGCACATCTGTATGCTTCAAATGATCCCCACTTCTCTAAGTATGTACTAATTATTTATAACATATTCAATTCCTCTCCCTTCCTTGACTAATTTTTCAAAACATTAAAAACCAAAAAACTTTAATTAGTTAAATTGTTACATAACATTGGTTTTTAAACTCAGCAAAGTTCAATGGTTTGTTAAAAAATAATAATCAAGTTTTAGGAGAGATAGAAAACAGGAGATTCAACAGCACATATACTCGCTGTCTTTAATAGCCCTTCCTCCCATTGTACTCAGGCTTGGTCGGGAAGCGGGTGCGATCGCACTCGATAATTGACCACGGAAATTATATTTACTGGCCAGATTTTTCAGGCGTTTTGAGAACATTTAAGTTTATGTATGTTTCCTTCTTTGTCCGCAAAATAATAAATTTATTATTTTATCGTAAATTTTAAAATATTTTGTTTTACGGATGTACATGGAAACTTATATAAACTTGAATGTTGTCAAACATCTTAGTGCGGAAAAATAAATAAAGAATATTCGCGAACACTAAAAACCCGCCAAATTTACGAACAACTAATTCTATTGGTTCAATTAATAAATAACTGAAATTCAAAAGCGAATGTTCTAGAGTATTCTGTTGAATTATTTTTCAAAATCGTATAATTTGAGTTTTGTTATGTTTTCGTTGAGATTTCTAGCATCAATTGCTTTAAGAATATACTATCAAGCGAACAATTATTTTAATACAGTGGCTCATTCTCGGAGTCACATCTACAAAGCTATAAATGTTTTAAACTAACATTTGTTTACAAAAATAAATGTTTTAAATTTATATTTTTAAACTTGTCAACGTTTTGTAAATATATTATAGATTTAATTAGTATAACCTTATTTTTTATATATAAGGGATGTATTTATATGTATGTAATGTATTAGAAATTGGTTTATTAACTTCAACTATTTTTGCTTCAGCCGTTCTTACAAACTTGTTATACTTACACTTAAAGTTACTTTTTTCTGTAAAATACTAGTTAAAGATATAAAGCCCACTCACTAAACATCATCAGCGATATTGTTAAGGGCGTCCTATAATTCAATTGAATCTCTAATTTCAATTTAGAACCGATTATGAGAAATGTATTACACAACCGAAAATATTTATGAAAAAAATTAGAACCGAAAAAATTTCAATCAAATTTTCGATCGAAAGTCATTAATGGTTTGAGAACCGAAAAAATTTCGATCGAAAGTCATTAATGATTTTAGAACCCAATTTCATTAAAATGGTTTACAACCGAAAGTTACACTTAATTAATTACAATTAAGTGAGGGTTTTTAGAAAACGATGAGGGAAAACGAAGAACAATGAATGAAAAGGTTGCTGACCCATACCAAACCCTCAGTGGATGTAGCAGCACTCCACTGCGAGTCAGGCTATTTGTCAGTCGATATATGTACTGAAGCCCCCAGCAGCAGGCTATTTGACGTTAGGCATCATCATGCTCACCTAACTCAGCAGTATAAGATATATGTATATATATTTTAAAGAAATTTTAATTGTTTATTTTATTGTAAAATGACTAACTGAAAAAAAAAAAAAAAGAAGATTAAAAAAAGAAAGGATTTTGTAATTCGATCCAAATTTTTTTGGTTGTAAAATTCGGTTTAAAAACTTTCGGCGCAAGAAAGGATTTTGTAATTCGATCCTGCAATGAAAGTATACTTTTCGGTTCTAAAATTTTCGGTTGTGAAATATTTCGGTGATATTTTCGAGGATAAATATTTTCGCTCTATCATGTGACACGATTGTTAAGCAGTTCCCCTTCCTCCTTACAAAGTAATTTAACGTTTTTAGTTAATTTCTATCTAGCTAATTAAATTTCCACAGTAACTCAATGATTTAGTTATTTCATTTGTTTATCTTACTAAGAAGAATTGTTTCAAATATGTTAAACTTTTCAAACTAAGCGAAGCATAAAACAGGTACTGAGAAAACTTTTTTTATTTATAATTAAATTATTTAGCGTTAGTTTAATTGGTTTAATCTTGTTGGACTTTACAGGGCCGGGGGCTGCATTTTTTGGTGGCCTTTTTTATGGGCGACAGCGTAAAAATGACTTAAAAATACCGATAGGTCCTCTTGACTATTTCTCGGCCCATAACATAACCCCCCCCCCACCTCTTATTTCCAGCACTGGAAATAAGTCATAAGTATCTAAATAAAAATTATATATAATCTTTGATAAATTGAAGAACATTTGCTTCTTTATTAAACAGTCATTATTAGTACGTTGTTACTATATACAAAAAATTTCCCTTCTTTTTTAAAAAAAAAAAAAATTATAAAAGAGCGACGTTTCAAAAATATTTGCTCTAATCGTATTTATTTTGCTTAAAGTTTTTTCGCGTTAAAAGTTATTTTTCTTTTTTTAACTGTCTCTCATCGGTCCAGTTTATCTTATTGCGCTTTTTTGCTTGTTTTTGAAATGTTCTCAAAACGCCTAAAAAATCTGGCCGGCTTTTCGCAACTAAATATAATTTCCGTGGTCAAATATCGAGTGCGTTCGCACCCGCTTCCCGACCAAGCCTGATTGTACTGTAATTGTACTCATTTGTACGTATTTGTACGTATTTGAAAGTTTTCGGTCAACATTATTACATATAGCATCAAATACATATTTAAACTGTATAAATGTATGTATATATATATATATATATATATATATATATATATATATATATATATATATATATATATATATATATATATATATATATATACCCTTATAGTGTAGTCGAAAGAGCGTTTTAATGTAAAAAAAGTCTCTTACGACTACAATTTTAATTACCTCGTCTCTTAAGCTGTTTTTGATTGTCATCGAAATGTCAAAGCAATTAATTTATGCGGAAGTACATTAAATTTAATTGTTTTTTAAAAATTTTTTAAAAAACCGCAATTATAACGACTAGAAAGTTTTTTTTAATTAGTGGTGTTTTTGTTATTGATTTAATAAAAAACATTTTTAAAACATGCGTAAATGTTGCTACATCGACTATCTTATAGCCTGACTCGCAACGGAGTGCTGCTACATCGACTGACAAATAGCCTGACTCGCAACGGAGTGCTGCTACATCGACTGACAAATAGCCTGACTCGCAAGGGAATGCTGCTACATCGACTGAGGGTTTGGTTTGGCCAGGCAGTCTATCAATTAAAAAAAAAATTTAATTTTTAAATTTTTAAAACTTTTTCTGGTCTGGTTTATTAACGCGCTCTTTAAAACTACAGCTTATGGGAAATTTTTTTTGATGCCACGCAAGAGACATGCAAGAGTATATATATATATACAGTTTAATTATGTATGTATGTATATATATATATATATATATATATATATATATATATATATATATATATATATATATATATATATATATATATATATATATATATATATATAGTAATATATATATATATATATATATATATATATATATATATATATATATATATATATATATATATATATATATATATATATATATATATATATATATATATATATATATATATGTAATATATATATATATATATATATATATATATATATATATATATATATATATATATATATATATATATATATATATATATATATATATATATATATATATATATATATATATATATATATATGTATATATATATATATATACATACATACATACATACATACATACATAATTAAACTGTGTATATATATATATACATATATATATATATATATATATATATATATATATATATATATATATATATATATATATATATATATATATATATATATACAGTTTAATTATGTATGTATATATATATATATATATATATGTATATATATATATATATATATATATATATATATATATATATATATGATATATATATATATATATATATATATATATATATATATATATATATATATATATACAGTTTTTTTATACATTATAAAAATTTGTTCATGAATCTAAAAAGCATATCATTAACTAGTGACTATGATGGTCTGGAGTCCAGAATCTAGGACTCTGGACTCCGACTTTGCATTTAAACAGGTCTTATGCCCACTAAGTATATGTTGTTAATGTAGATGTAGAGGCTTTGTGTTATCATTTACTATTGAATTGCCATGTTCTTATTTGTGTTTTCAAAGGTTCCTTATAAATACTTCAAGATTTGTTTATAATTACTTTGAGGGTTTTTTGAAATTACTTTTCTAGACTGAACCGAATGCTTAAACAACAGCGCAAGCAAGCAGAACATGCTCTAGTTGATCATTCAGCAACTGTTAAAGAGGAAGATAGCCCAGTAATTTCACAAGGTGAACATTTTTTACAAAACAATTAGGCAATTTTCCGGTTTTTTATATTTTTTTTATTTTGCTATTCTACAAATTCTTCAACAAACAAAAAATCAGTTTATATATAGTTTTTGTAGGGTGGGTTGGGGTGTTGGGGTAGGATGGTTGGGAGTTGGACATTGTAGAGTGTGACTTTTTTTATAACCAAAATTTGTATTTCAAATATCACTGCATAAAATGCTCATAAAATGACAAATGCTCCTCAAATTTTGTTGTTTCTTTTACCTCAGCTTATGATTGGTTCTTTTTTAGTTATTTTAGACCAAGCTTACTAAAAAACTTTTTCTGCACCAGATTCAATCCTTGCACTTCTTACGCTACTTTCAGGTTGAAGTCATTTTCTTTGTGATGCTCTTTAAGCTGATGTCTTTTGCATGTCTGCTGAAAATTGCATATCTGCTGAAAATTTCCCTCAGAACTTTAAACTAGTTTTTTATTTGGATCAGAAATCTGTTAACATTTATACAAAAATAATTTTTTTTTTTTTTTTTTTTTAAAGGAAAGGAAAGCCAGGAAGAGCAACCGGTTGTAAATAATTTCTTTTTTTTTTCCAATAATCTCACATATAAATAAGAAAATGGCAACATGGTAACCTGCCCAAACCACACAAGCATAGAAACGTGGACTTAATTTTAAAAAGATATTAGCTATTTTTATAATTTCATTAAATTTGTTTTAGATTCTGGTGAAATGTCGACAGAAAATAACGATTCAGCAGTTATGACTGGAAAACATAAAGTTTCGAAGAGAAAACACAAAGATTCTACTGGTTCTCTTACCGATAATTCAAACTTTTTAAATAATGAAGTAAACGAGGTAGAAGTGCTGTTTCACCCTCATCCTGCTTGTGATATTCTTAAACACTTTAAATCGCGATATTTAAAAACTACGGGAATTGCAACTGTTGCTCATTTGTGTCAATTTTTAGTTACAAGAATTTCTCTAGAAGAAATAACTCCGTGTATCGACTTTGAAGTGTTGGTACGTACGGTCGGGGAATATCAGAAACTTGAAAAACATTTAACTCTTGCAGAAATTAAACAGCTTTATTCAAAAGATTCGACACCACTTGAACTTTTTTTTTCAAGTGAAAATCGGTAATTTGTTTAAAAACTAAATAGTTTAATAAATAGTATTTATTATATTTTTAATATTTGCTGATTAAAAATCCGGATTCCACTTACTCCATTTTAAGAAAATGTTTTTCAAATTTTTTCATAAAATGTTTTTAATATTTTTATTATTGTTTTTATTAGTTTTAACGGGTCGCTTTATCTTTATTTGGTTTTAAAATGCTTCTTTAGACATTTTTAAAATCTACTTTCGCATATAATTTACAGTATTATTATCAGTTTATTTATCGCTTATTTAATTTTATTAACCGTTGACGCATTTCTGTGTAAAATTAATAAGCTATTAACAAATTTAAAAATTAAACATCTTCATAAGTTTTCTTTTTTTCTATAATTCATTATCGTCATCAGAAAAAAATTTTCAATTTTGAATCTAAACGTTCGAAGTATGTATAAACCACAAGTTTATACATACTTCGAATGTTTCAGATTTGACACTTGAAGACATGTGCAAACTCCAAACTTAAGAATGTTCATATTATGATCATATGAAATTTACAACCCTAATATTTTGGCAAGGGTTAATAAATTTACAACAAGATCTTAGGATCACGGGGAACACCGCTGGAACTCATATCGTCTTCCTGCTGACAAATATGCTTCTTACATGACTTCTTGAATTCAGGCTGGCATGGAGTATTTTATTTCCTCTCGACGATTCCAAGTCAGGCCTCGCTTTTCTCCATGGTTTTCCTCATATTCCATTTCTACCAGCAAAACAATTCTCCAGAAAACAGACGTATTTCTAGATTTTCCATTGTAAAAAGGTTTTGTATATATATATGTAATATCAAAGTCCGCTATTCTCAGTTCCTGAGGATGTGCGTAACCAAATAATGTACGAACTCGTACAAGAGAGGGTAGCTAAAAAGAAATTAAGGTAGCTATAAGCTTAATTTCTTTTTAATAAACTACTTATCCTTCACTGTAATGCCGCTGAAACTCATGTTCAACATTTTTGGATTCTGAAGTTTTTTGGGGGTGACACACCCGAAGGAGGGGAAGGGGTTCCACATCCACGTGATCTGGATGTTCACGTGGATGTGGAACCCCTTTCCCTCCTTCTCAGTAGTATAAAAAAAAAAGAAACGTTAAAATCGAATGTGTGTATATATATATACATATATACATATATATATATATATATATATATATATATATATATATATATATATATATATATATATATATATATATATAAATATATATATATATATATATATATATATATATATATATATATATATATATTAAATATTTAAATGAAAAAAATACGACTTTTTTATGGGACTTCAAGTTTCATGCCATTCGGCAATCATTCAGCAATATATTTATATATTATTAAAATAAAAACCGTTATAAAAATACAAAATTGCGTTGCAACGAGATCAAACGTCAGTTTTCACGCCAAACGGGAATTTATTTAACCGGTGTCGAAATTCGATAGCAAAAACTTTTTTCTGTGCCTACATGCTGAAACCATGTATATAATTTCCTATATATAAATTCCTCATTTTTGATATTGTTGACTTTTATCCTTCTATTACCGAGAAACTTCTTATCGACTCTATTTGCTTTGCTGAACAGTATGTTACCATTGCAAACGAGCACAAATCTTTGATTCAACACGCACGGAAATCCTTGTTATTTAACAATAACGAAGTTTGGATAAAAAAATCAGGTGATTTATTTGACGTCGCCATGGGAGCGTTTGACGGTGCCGAGGTATGTGAATTGGTTGGAATTTTCCTTCTTTTCCAAATTTCTCAATTTTATAACAAGCTTGACTTCGGGCTGTATAGATATGATGGGTTGGCCGTAATTAAAAACGCCAGCGGTTCACAAATGGAAAAAGTTAAAAAACATATAACTCACCCAGTGGGCACACGACGTTATTTCGACGTTGATTTACAGTTGATTTTTAGTCACGACGTCGTATAACCAAAAATCAACGTTGTATCAACGTTGAAAAATTTGTTTAAAACTATCAAATAAAATCGACGTTGATTCCACGTTAGTTCAACGTCTATATTACGAGTTCGATCGTTCGTAATTGCAATATGAGAACTAAAATACGCATGCGTGACTTAAAATTTTTTAATCAACATAACAAAGACTTAACAAGTTACTTATTAGCCCAATAAAAACAAGTAAAGTCACACATGCTTATAAATTAGGTCATCTGTTGCCTTTTTATAAGGTTTTGAATTTAACAATAACATATGGCTTAACTTGTGATGCAGTTAGTTAGGTAAATATTAAATGGATATTTCTTTATGACCGTATTATTTCATAAGTGTGGATTACAAGTAGAGACTACTTGATATATTTTATAAATATAAAATATATATTATATATGTTTTTCTTATTTATGTAATATATATATATATATATATATATATAAATATATATATATATATATATATATATATATATATATATATATATATATATATATATATATATATATATATATATATATATATATATATATATATATATATATATATGTATGTAATATATATATATATATATATATATATATATATATATATATATATATATATATATTTATATATATACATATATATAATATGCATATATAATCTATACATACACTATATATGTATATATGTATACATAATATAAATATATATAATGGATGATGTTTTACAAAATAATGATTTATCAAGCTTTTTTACCAATCCATGTGATTTAAAGAGTTTGAATATTTTTTATATTAAAAAAATTTTATTAAATTTTTCAAAGATTTTTCTTGTAAAGCTGTATAAAAAAGAATTTGTCCGTGCTCCTTTATTCCATGATATTGGTTGGTAGAAGGATCAACATTTCTACTATACTTATATATATATATATAAATATATATATATATATATATATATATATATATATATATATATATATATATATATATATATATATATATATATATATATATATATATATATATATATATATATGTATGTATATATATAAAATTAAAAAAATATTAAAAATATAAGAGCATGTTATCGATAATTAAAATTATCTGTTTAAGTTTTCTTTTGAATGTGTTGTAATTCCACTCTTGAGTAAAATCAAAATATTTCAAAGCTATTTTGTTCCATAAAATAACTCCTCGATAAGAGATGCAAGATCTACCGAAATTTGTATGCAAAAAAAGGTTGTTGGATAAAGTTTTCATTTCGAGTATTTGCTTCTTTTTTATGTGAGTATAAATTATAAAAAGGATAAGGGGAAGTGTTAGTTTTACATTTATACATAATGCAAAGAATATTATAGACATTTAGCTGGTATACATTAGGAAAAACAAAACTTGCGAAAATCTCGCATCTTTATCGACCGTAATAGAATTGTTATTGCGGAAGTTGCACATGCGAAAATGCACATTCCGTAACGCACTATACGAAAATATAAATAAAATTCCGTAATAAAGCATTGCGAAAGAAAACTTGCGAAACAAATCGTTTCGTAAGAATACTTACGAAATAGTTCCTTACGGAAGGAGCATTCCGGAATGTGCAGTTACGAAAAAGACGCAAAAGGTTTTATGTTACGATATACTTAAGATATTAATTGTTAACAGTTTAAATATAATAAAATTATAAAAAAATGTTGTCAAATGATTCTTCAAATGTTTATACAAATATACCTAATATATATATATATATATATATATATATATATATATATATATATATATATATATATATATATATACCGTTACATATATTACAACGGTATATATATATATATATATATATATATATATATATATATATATATATATATATATATATATATATATATATATATATATATATATATATATATATATATATATATATATATATATATATATACATATATATACCGTTAAGTTGGACTCTCAATGAACAGATAAATAGTATGCCTTTCTTTTTAGAAAGTATAAAGAGGATGTGTGATAAACAATTAAATACTTTATTATAAAGAACGAGAGATCTCTTTAAAGGTAAATGATATCAAGAAAGAGTAAAAAGAGAAGAAATATATGTGACACAGCGCAGGGGCGGATCCAGCATTTTTTGGTGTTTGAGATAGCTAACTTCCAGACATGGAGCAAGCTCCAAACATTTATAAGTTTATACTTATATCAAATAAGGATGGTTTTCAAAAAATTGCGATGGTTGGAGCCTGGGAACAAAAAAACCCCAAAATTTGAGACGTACCTGCCCCAAACGTGAGAGCAACAAGTTGATAAAATATTTTTTGTACTATTCTCAACAAGACTTATATTTATCCATAAATTTAAAATTTCATTGTAAAATATTTCAGCGTTCAAAAATTATGACCATGTAAAGTTTGAATCCCCCTCAATTCGAGGGGGTTACAATTTTTATATGGTCATAATTTTTGAGTGCTAAAATATTTTACGATGAAACTTAAAATTTATTGATAAATATAAGTCTTGTTGAGAATAGTACAAAAAATATTTTATCAACTTGTTGCTCTCACGTTTGGGGCAGGTACGTCTCAAATTTTGGGGCTTTTTTGTTCCCAGGCTCCAATAATTGCAATTTTTTGCAAACCATCCTTATTTGACATAAGTACAAACATATAAATTTTTGGAGTTAGCTACATGGCTGGAAGTTAGCTATCTCAAACACCAAAAAATGCTGGATCCACCCCTGCAGCGGGATGTGAACCTCGGTCTCCGCGGCTAAATGTTATTCTTAACTGAATGAGCTATACGTTCATTCAACTAAGTGAATAGTAATATTTATTTATTATATAATTAAGAAAATATATAAAACAGAATTTACAGAAAAAGATACGTATGCAAATAGGATTCTATAAATCAGGAAAATGAATAGTAATGTGAACCTTTAGTTGCTTATAATTCATAACTGGACTTGAAAACTAGTTTTTTTTAATGGAACACAATAGGCTGTAGGAGCCTCAGGGAAATTATATTCAGAAATGATTATATTAGACTCAAAGTTAGCTAAAAATTATTGCAAAGTGTTTAGGACAGATGTCTAGTACAAAAAGCACAAGATTTAATGCAAAATGATTTATATTATTTGAAAAAGTTGTTTAACGTACATTTCATCATAATTTAAGTAGAACTTAGAAAAGCAAGAGAAGCGCGTAGAATTAAGCACAATGAACTCAATCTTAAAAGAATAACTAACAGAAGAGAGGTTGTCACTATTATGAAGGTGACGAGAGATCTGTAATATAGAACATGGAGGTCAAAAAATGCTATCTTAAGTAAAAAAAGTTTGATGAACAAAAGTCGCGATGGCAGCGGGATGCGAACCCGGATCTCTGCGGCGAATTATCACGTATCTAAATGATAGAGCTATACAATCTTAAATTTAAATTTATATCTTATTAAAATTAAAAAGCAATATTTTCTAAGATCTATACTTCAAAAAGCGTATTCAAACAGGACTCTACATACCTTTAAAATCTGCTCGAATCTCGAACTTAAATTTTTTTTTCTTAAATGGACATCATGTTGGTCTCAACACCCCTCCCCATTGTCAATTCTTGTCAAACTTTTCAGTACCCCTTCCCCTTATATTTACTGACATCATTTATGGATAGCCCCAAAGTCCTACTTATCCAGGGACCGAGATCGTTTTTTTTTTATAAGCATAACGCTTATAGGCTCAGATTTGGAAAAAAAAAGCATATGTAAGCATATTCCTGAGCCTTGATAGACCATTTCAAAAATTTTATTTTTATTTAATTAAAAATTTTAAATATATATATTTCTAAATTTAAACCAACAAAAACCGAAGTTTATAACAACATAAATTCAGCTGCATTAAAACCAAAACAAAAATACAGAGCATAAGTCAACTTTTTATTTTTCTTATACCCATTAATCTTTAGTAACGTGCCCACTTTTAGAAATTATTGAAATAGGTATATTTTATCAGAAATATGCTTAAGCATATTTTTGAGCCTCTTTTTACTATTTGCTTAAGCATATTCGAACCTGTTTCAAAAATTTCATATGCTTTAAAAAAAAACATGTATATTCCTACCCATCATTCTTATTTTTACTATACGTAATGAGTTCAAAAAACATCGTTATATACATTTATTATGGCACGTTTTGTAAGTTTATTTCCGTTAAGAACTCTTTCGTATGTTGTGATGCAAAATACTTTCGTTTCGAAAGAAATTTTATTTTTTATCAATATTTCTAAAAATAAAGCCATAAAAATTTAATATGTTTTTATACTGAAAATAAAAATTCATTATAAACATTTTGGGATTTAAAGATGTTAATTTTTACAATTAAAATCAGTCTGGCAAACAAATTTTCTTTATAGACTTCAAAACGTCGTTTGGCGAAAATGTTTGTTTCGCAAATGCTACTTCCGAAACCGCTACTTTCGTATGTTGCAAAATAGTTTTGTTGCGTATGTCAACTTGCGAAATGCTAAATTTCGGAAGTAGCTTTTGCGAAATGAACATCGGCGATTTTAAATGTTTTGTAACATTCGGAACGAAAAAATGTTATTCCTCGTTCTCAATCTCCTTACGAAAGAATGTTGTTTTTCCGGAAATGCACGAAATCCTCCGGTTAACAACCCTAGTATACATTAAGAATATTAATTTTAAGTAAAAGAGGCCCGGCATGAGTAAAACAATCTTAAAAATTTATAAAACGTTATATAGACGATAAAGAATTTCTAATATACTTTTATTTACACCACCCCATGCAGTTATTAGCATAATTAATATGGCAATGAATAAATTAGTAATATAATTGAATTAAAGTGTATCTAATTTTGTTGTTTAGATTTGTTAACACGATTTTTCCATGTGAGGTTTTCATCAACGCCAAGAAACTGGTAACTTTAGCTCTCTTTATTTCAGTATTATCAATTTTAAAAAGGTATAATCAAAATTAGATTTTTTTTTTGAAGCTGGATTCTTTGAAGAGTATCCGTTTAGTTTTTTCGATATTTATTGATTGTTTGTTTGACTTAAACCAGTTAGAGATTTTAATGAGTTCACTATTTATTTTGTTAAATAATGTTGGTAAGTCATTGTCAGATAAAAAAAGATTTGTGTCATCGGCAAACATAATTGTTGTTAAATTTGATGCTTTATAGAGATCATTAATATAAATTAAAAAAAGCAAAAGTCCTAGTATCGATCCTTTGTGTCATCAGCAAACATAATTGTTGTTAAATTTGATGCTTTATAGAGATCATTAATATAAATTAAAAAAAGCAAAGGTCCTAGTATCGATCCTTGTGGAACTCCGCATGATATATTTAATAAATATGATGACGAGGATGAATCTAATTTAACAAATTGTTTCCGATTTTTTAAATAGTTTTTTAATCATAATAATACATTCCCTGTGATTGCATAGAGTTGTAGTTTTTTAAAAAGAATTTTGTGATCATTAGTATCAAAGGCTTTTGAAAAATCTATGAAGATGCCTAGAGTATATTGCGATTTTTCAAATGAACTTGCAATACTTCAAATAGGTTGAAGTATTGCATGTTCAGCAGATTTATTTTTTTTTGAATCCATTTTGATTGTTGTATAATATTTTGCTTATAGTTAGATAGTTATATGTTCTGTTATACAAAATTTTTTCCAAAACTTTTGAAAAAACAAAGGAGAAATGAAATTGGGCGGTAGCTATTGAGTTTAGTTAGTTCATCTCCTTTAAAGATTGGAGTAATTCTAGCTGTTTTGAGAGATCTAGAAATATTGCTTGTTTAATTGAGTAACTAAAAATTTTAAAAATAATATTTTTAATGATGTCATAAGAACCCATTACAATATTTCCATTAATATCGTCTGGTCCAACCGCTATATTAAATTTAATTATTTTGTTGGCCAATAATCAACAAATAAGTTTTGGAGTAATAGTTAAAATAATAGGTTTTTGTGTAACACTTGAAAGAAAAAATCTCAATAAATCATTAATAATTGAATAATAATAATAATTATATATAATATATACTTGATATATCACACAAATTCATTAAATAACAAAAAATTAATGTGGTATATCAAACAATAAAGAATTTAAAGTACTATATAGTAGTATAACTCCATACTGCCAAAAATAGACTTAGTGCATTTCCATTGTATACTGACGATATATATATATATATATATATATATATATATATATATATATATATATATATATATATATATATATATATATATATATATATATATATATATATATATGTATAGACACACACACAAATTGTTTTTATTATGTTTTACAAAAACACTTCTAAGTTTGACATCTTTGTTGGTGTTTTATATGCTTTAATGTATTTTTTATTATTTATAGTGTACCACAAAGAGCACCTAAATCAGAATAAATAAGTTGTTTCGAGACATATATTCAAGACCAGATATAAATTTTCAATCAGAAATCTGGATATCTATTTGCAATCGTTATTGATAACATTTAAGAAAACCATGTCTATTTCACAATCTGAACATATAATTCACGGTACTTCTTTAATTTGGTATTTAACTCCAATAGGCTTTATCTCTGATAGTGCTATTGAAGCCAGAAACAAAGAAAGCAAAACTACACGAATTAGTCATGCATGTCTAACTTTCTTGGCAGAAAACAGTAGGGATACAATTATTTGTTTGTGACATTTGATATGTACCTCTATTAAGTATTCTTTTGAATGTTAGTAGTTGAGACTATTTTTGTTAATTTTTTTTTTTTATAAATAAATCTTAATATAGTTTTTAATAACAATTCCAAGTTTTGTTTTTTGTTTTTAAAAAATGTTTAAGAAATAATTTAATAAATTTTAATTAGTAATTAACTAATCTAGAAAAATCTATATCATGAACTAAAATGTTATACTGATAAGCTGTTCTGAGTTGAATTTTTAAATGGCTATTTTCATAGCCGCAAACTATTAAAAACATACATTAGAACGTTGAGAAACTTTGTAAGAAACTAAAGAACAAAGAATCAGATAATAGCAGATTTGTTTATAATTTTAATAAGTTTATATTTAATATTGTTTATTATTAAATCGTGTTGATGATATAGTTTGTAAAACTCTTTAAAATATTAGCGCCTACTGTTTTTGAATAAAAATATCCGGACATTTGTAATTTTCTGGATTTGTCAGAAATTAGTACGGATGAACCGAAAAATATTCAGTAAACTGTTTTTTTTATGAAAACCGGATAATTTTCTTTTAATATAAACATAAACAAAAACTTGATGTCGTGAAAAAATCAGCTCAATGTGTTGAATGCTTCCTTATTTAAAAGCATATTTCCTCATTTTGTATTAGAGCGACGCATTGTGCGGCAACAAAAAAATAATGAAAAAAAAAAATTTTTTTTTCAAAAATAAGTTAAGGTTTAATATACGTTCAATGCAGAAAAAAAGCAAAAAAGATAAAATTTATAGATTATCCAATACAATATTTTGATTGTATTTTGAAAAAATAATCGCATGTCTCTTAACACAAGACCATATGCGGTAAAAATAAAAATAAAAATTCGTGTATTTTACATTTGTATATTTCTTATATTGAATATTTTTAAAACCAAAACTTACACTAAAACTTTCAATTAAAATAATATTACTAACCTAAATGATCAATACTATTCAGCACCGTAGTAGCGATCACCATATATGATCGACAATACTATCCAGTACCATAGTAGCGATCGCCATAGTCACCTAATCCTGGAACAATATACTTATGTTCATTTAAACATTTGTCTATACAACATGTGACTACTTTAACGTTAGGATATGCGTCTTTTAAAGAGCGAAGACCTTCAGGGCAACATATAAGATTAATAAACATTATGTTAGATTCTGAAACACCAGCTTCAATTAATACAGAAATTGCTACCTTGACACTTCCACCGGTAGCCAACATTGGATCAGCTAGTATAACATAACAATCAGAGATGTTTTTCGGAAAATTCTTATAATAATAAACAGGATTCTTCTCGGGTGAGCTTTCATCTCTTTGAACTAGTATCTTTCCAATACCAATTCCAGGAAGAATCGTACGAACAGCTTCTTGTAGAATATCACCTGACCGTTGAATAGAGACAACACATATTATCTTATCGCGATAGTCAATTAGACCAGTAAGTGACCCACATGGAGTTATAACTTCGCCACCTCGAACTGCTGGTATATGTGCCAATGATTCTTCTGCTAAAATCCTCATTAACCGATCTCCATAAAAAGTAAACTCTGCGCAGTTAGTATTTTTATCTCTTAATTTAGAAAGAAGCAAATCGATTGCACGAGATTTCAGTACTGTTACATTAGATTTAATATAAAGATCAAACTCTGTGTTTGGCATCATAGAGGAACCCATATTTCAAACAAATTTACCTGCAAAATAAAACAAAAAAATATATTTAAATTGTTACTTTTAGAAATGATGTTTACTTTACAAATATGCATTTATATAGGACAACCCCTTATCCCCAAAAACACATATATATTACAATTCTCGCTCACTAATATACATATACTTATAAAGACACAAATATTATTTATTTTAACTGATTTTCTTTAACCTTAATAAATTAAAAACGTTTTATAACACAAACAATTTTTTTTAGTTAAAAAAACTAAAATGTAGTTAAATAAGTATAATAATATTATTAAAATTTAATATAAATATTAAATAAAAATTAATGAGGGGATATAGGATTTAGGAGGTTATTTTAAAGTAGACATTTTAAAAAGGTTTTTTTTTACATTTTTTGATTTATTATGATTACAGAGCCTAAGTAGGATTCAAACAACCTTTCCATGGCTTTTGTGAGAAAAAAAAGCACATTCATTTCTGAGTTATTTTGTTAAGAGTTCATTCATAGGACTTTTAGATGCAAAACCAATAATAATATTTTTCATTAGCATTATATTCTCTTTTTTATACAAACATACTTTTTTAAGATCACCACCATAACATCATTCATATGTATAAAACACATTCCATATGTGATCAGAAACTTTAATGGATACCCAGTGGCACTGAAATCTCTTCTAGCCGGAGTATCATGCAATATTGGGTATGCTCCCTATATTTTAATATATCCCTTAATATATAACTATTGAGTATGCTCCCTATATTTTAATATATCCCTTAAGTATCATGCAATATTTGGTATGATCCTTTAAGAATATTTTTAAATTCCATTAGGTACATTCAGAACCAAATTTCTATGTATTTTCATAGAAACTGCAACTCTTAATGTCAACTTCATACTCATTTTGGTATATGGAAAACTTTTTGAAAAAATTCCAATTTGTATTAAGCCCATAATACTGGAATAATCTAAACAAATGCAAACATACTAGTAAATAATTGGCTCATGTTAGTAGATGCATTGTTTTACAATCAATACAAAATATTTGCTAGCACCCAATTAATTTTGGATATCTTATTAAAAAGTTCTAAAGTTTTTTGACTTTTTATTTGTTGAATTAGTGTAGTAGTACTTTTTCATAACAAAAAAGCAAAAATAATAATTTATTGCTTTTTACCATTATTATGACTTCATTATGAATGCCTGAACTTCAATATTTGTGAAGCTGAAGCTTTTTGTTGTTCTTTGTTTTTTGACAAAACAAAGTCTTTATATACTGGCTGAGTAGGCCGATTGTTTGAAAAAAATGTTTATTTTATTTATAGGTCATTCCGTGTCAAATTAATCAAAAAAAATTATCGACGCCATGCCACCTCAGATTTTGGTGATTTTTGGAATGCAACCTTATATTGATGAAAAAAGAATTGAATCCAAATTTTAGTGTCTGACTCCTTACAGTTTCAGAGATAATGATACTCAGTCCCAATTTCTTTTTTTATTATTTTTTTTTAGCGCTATTTATTTTTTAAGCTAATTGCATAACACAATTAGCTTTAACTTATGAAATACTTGCTTAATAGTTTTGAAAATTTGTACCTTTTTTGGGAAGAGGAACTCAAAAATGATACTTAAAACACTAAAGAAATAAAGCTTCACAATAAAAATTCAATTTCAAAATGGTGTAACACTTTTTTTAAGTTTTTTGATGCCCCGCACAAAAAGAAGTATATCTTGAGATGCCTAAAAGATATGATTCTGAAAATTTTTCCGATGGTTCTATATATAACAAACACCTTATTACAAAAATACTGCAGGAGCTTTCTTTTTGAATCTGATTTATTTGCATTGAAAGTTTTAAAAAGAAAATTAGGAAAATTTTTTATTTAGTAATGAAAAAAAAATTATATGCATTTAATTTTTGCATTTTTTAAAAAAGATTTTAGAATCTCAGGTACAGTTCTAATATATAAACTTGTTTGCATTTCACATTAAAGATCTTCACTTTATACAACCTTCATGTTTAATGAAGGGTTTTCTATTTACAACAATATTATCTCAAAAATGATGGATAAACCACTAACTAATGCGGTAGTGGTAGAGCACTCGCTTCATAAACGAGTGGTTCCAAGTTTGATCCCCACCACGTCCCAGGTAGTACCGCGCTCAACTCGTTTCTCCACGCAGCAGCCTTGTTCGTCAAGGTTCGTGTTTCAGGGTTATAGAGTTGAGAGAGGGTTATAGCCACAAATAATTAGCCTCCTTGTTTGTAGTGGCCTTCTCAGCCTTGAGGAGGTGAATAAAAAAAAAAATAAAAAAAAAATTAAATTAAAGCTGCAATATGAAAATTTAATTTCAAAATAATGTAAAACTTTTTGTAATTTTTTTGATGCTCCATACAAAAAATGAGTACAAAAAATTTTGAGATGCCTGAAAGATATGATTATGAAATTTTTTTGTAAGGTTCTATATGTAACAAATGCCATAAAACAAAAAAACTGCAAAGGTACTTAATGCAACTAAGGCATAGAACAAACAAACTCGTAAGAAAAAAGCTGATAACTTTAAATGAATCTGATTGGTTGTTAGTGGCAAACTGAACAACTTTTTATTTATTGATGCATTTAATTTATGCAAACAGAGAATTTGTAAATAATGGCAAAATATTATAAACAACCAAAGCGTCTGTTTTAACTGTTTTGCAGGAGATGTATGAATACAATTAAATTATAAAAATATCTTGAAGTGTTTGTTTGACATTTATGAACCTTATTACAATTTAATACATTTGTGTTGGTATATTTTTAAAAAATATACTACTTTTAAAAGCAGTTGGAATGAACTATGTAACATATATTTAATTTTGCTCTCTGTAAACAAAGAAAAGTATTTATCTTAATACACATTGAAGCCGTAAAAGCTATTTGTATCAACTTAGTGTTCAAAGATATAATTGTTTTTATAACAATAAGTTAAAAGTAACTTGTGTTACTTTTAAATTATTGCTATAAAAAATAAATAAACCAAATATCAACTACTGATACAAAAACGAAAGGAATTTGAAAATGAAAATAATTTGTTTATAAAGTTTACCACCTCTGTTTTATTCTTTACGCATTCTGAATGGAATAAATTACGAATTCTGAATGGAATAAATTCAGATGGCCAAAAAATTCCTGAGTATTTTAAATAATTATACTAAATACCGAAAACAGTTTTTTGAATGGAGCTGCTTTTTGAAAGTTATGATTATTTATTCAAAAACAACTTTTGTAGAAAAATTAACACTAATATTTGTCTGTTATATTATCTATAACAAGTTTATCTGAATCTAACATGAC